CCTGGAGCTTTACTTCAAATACAAGAAACAGCTGGTGCTCATGATTTAAGGCTCAATACAAATAGTAGAGTGGATTTATTTTACAAGCTGTCTGGTTTGGCAAAAGTCCAGAATTCGTCAAACAGAAAGATAAGGATGATGATGACAATATAAATGATTCTTCATAGTTGGTCCTAGTAGTGACATAAAAGAAGGGCAACCTCCGTAGGACGTTCCAGGGCTGGAACATACCCTCAACTTCACTCGCAAGAAATTTACAGTGGGGTCTTCCCGGCACCTGTAAAAATCAGAGGTGACGCCATAGACTTGACATGGTTGTTCGTGAAAGCTGGACCTGTGAAGGCTTCAGGCAATAATCCTTTGTATTAACCCAGTAAAGGGGCATCAATATCTATTTAACATGGGAAAGCTCCCAGAGGAAGAACCCCAATATTTCAAAACCCAAATAATACTAAAAATGACTTAGCATCCAACGAGCGCTTTTCTGTGAACTGTTGAGATCTTTGTCATTAAGCCTCATGAAAAATCTAAAGGAATTTAGGGGAAATGCCAATCATCTGATTCATAAATGGATGTCCACCTCTTGGTGAGAATAATGATTCAAGCTAACACACACTGAGAACTGCTGCTGCCGGATAAGGTGCTTCATACTTTAATACATCAGCTTCCTGAATACTCTTGAGACACTATTCTAAATACTACCATTATTCTCATTTTAAATGAGGAAACTGGACCTCCCAGAGATTCCATCAAGGCCCGAGGACACATGGCCAAGTGAAGGAGCTGGGCTATCCTAACGCTCCTCACCCTCTGTAACCCAGAAGACAGAAGTGGATGTGGTCTGTGTGTCAGTCCCCAGGTGGCTGCAGTTCCATGGGTGGCTCTGGTTTCAAGTGGGCAGCACAGAGGTGACAGCTAGTCCCATCAACAGCCATGGACTATATCCCTCATCCTCAGCCATGTCACCGAGGTCTTCTTTTGGACCCCCACAAGACTGGGTGTAAGACTTGGGGATGGCTCAACAAACCCCACTCCACCCCCAGTACTGCAAAGAAAGAACTCAAAATACTTTTTTCCATTATCAATGGACTGTCCTTTTTCCATCCTCATTGTTGTCCTTAATAGTGGAAAATTCCATAGAGACTCATTTGATGAGGCACGAAAGCCTTCCAAGCTTAAGTGTGTTTCAGAAATTTAAGTTGTGCCCACGAATGTTTATGGCTCAAGTTTTCTCTTTCTCGGTGGGGTCTTCACTTAGAGAACAGAAAATATTAATTACTTGTCTCAGGCAAGAGACACACTGCTCTTGAGATTTTCCACCTGTAAAATGTGGATGATAACACCTAGCCTACATTTTTCATACGGTTTGGGGAGTACAAAAAGGATACAAAGAAGAGAGTTAAGAAAAATTTTATACCACAAGCCCAAACCCCGTCTTCTCTAACTTTCCCAATCAAGAGGCCCCACCACCATACATCTCTCTCCTTCCAGCAGCCACTTTTCTGTTATTTATGGCAGCTCTCATTAACCAAATTAAAATTTTTAAGTACTTCCTGTCTCTCCAACGACAATGAAATTCCATGCAAGAAGGAATTTTGTCTTCTTGTTTGCCAGCGCCTTGCCAGCATCTAAAACTGTCGCTGGCACACTAGACACTCAATAAATGCATATTGAATAGGAAAACATTTTTGTGTTAAAATCTCCACCTTTATAAACATTTTTAAAACTGGATTTCAGGTCCATAGAAATAGATTAATCATAATCCTTGGCTAATGGCATGCTCATCATTGATCCATGCATGGCCCTCTTTTATGATTTATTTAGCTATTGAATTAGGGTTTGTTTTTTTCTACATTAGGTAAAAATACCTGAAAAAAACCAGAACCTGAATCTAACCATAGGGCCCTGGCCCCTATCTCATCCCCCGCCTCTCCCCATCCAAGGTAATCATCACTCAGAATGCCAGGCTCTTCACTTCCTGTTGTCTTAAGTCCATTTCCCTAGAAGCAGAGGTTGAGATGAGATTCTTGTTTAGGTGATTTTCTTTGAAGGAATTCTCAGGAGAAGGGGAGTTTGGGAAGCAGGACAGGATGGCGGCGGGGGGGGGAAGCTAAGGAAGGATGTGGAATCAGCTGGAAAATGTATTCAGAGTTCTGGAGCCCACACTGCACCACAGTGTGACCCTACGTTGAGGCAAAAGATTAGCTGTTTGTGCCCCCAAGTTAGTCAGTCATTGGCTGACATTTGGGGAGGTGATATAGGGAAAACAAGTACATAGCTTCCTGTGTGAGTCAGCCCCTATTTGGCTAACAGCAATTCTCCAGAGAGGGAGGGAGCCTTGAGCTGTTGGCAGCCAACACTCATAGCAGCTGGGAATCGGTACACTTGAACAGGAAAAGGGGTCTGAGCATGTATCCTATCTTCTTCCCTTTCTCTACAATTTTATCAAATTTTGTATGTCTTCCTGAAAAGGAATTATTACTTGCATTTTGTTCAGTTATTTGGAACTTTCTAGAAAGAAAATCATACTAAATTTTCTTCTGTGTATAATATTTCAGTATGTGAAAATACTTTATTCACCCATTCTCCCACTGGTGGACTTGCTAGTTGTTTTTAGGTTTTTGCTATTATGTACAGCGTTGCTGTGAACATTCTCATTATGTCTCCTGTTGTATATGTGCGAGAATTTCTTGGGTTTATGCCTGGGGTAGAATACCTGGACCATAAGGTGTGAACTTCAGAAGGTAATGCCAAACTATTTTCCAAAGTGGTTTTACGAATTCATATGCCCACCGATAATAGAGATCCTATCATCCACCTCCTCTCCAACATTTTGATTTTTGTAAATTGAAAGAGTATAAAATGGCATCTCATTGCAGTCTTGACTCATAAGTCCTCGATCAAATACACCTGTTTCCTCTTCTGTGAAATGCTTGCTCACAGCTTTTGTCCATTTTCTCTTGGTTCTTTGTGCTTATTGATCTGTAGGAGTTCTTCATATGCCCTTTGTTGTGTGTATATGAATATAGTGAACATCTTCTAGTTTATAACTTTACTCCTCACTTCCTTTATGTGTCTTTTACCGAACAGAAGCTCTTAATTTGATTATAGTCACAGGTATTCTCTTTATGGCTTTTTATGTATTGTTGAAGAACTCTTTCCCTCAAGGGATCTAAAGGACACTCTCAGTCTTGGGGGTGAGGAGTCTACACATAGAGCCAGGTTACAGGCCAGGCCTCCTGGGGCATTGCCTGGTCCAAGGCAACCCTGACTAGCCAGCACCAGTGACCAACTGGCTGGCTCACAGGTGTGTTCTGGTTATAGAATTGGATATATCATGCTATTAGAGCTGGATACCATTAAAAATTCTAATCATAGACTGTAATTAACTTTCCTTGCTCTGACGCCCTGCTCACTAAACAACCTTCTGATTATAATTTGGCTTCCCCATGTATCTTGCCTACAGGGAGAGAATGTACTGTGCAGACCGACGTGAGGATCCAATCCACTAAACAGTTACATGCCATGATGTAAATGAATAAATCCGTATTCTGATTTTATCATCTGCCTCATCTGAGCTCTGTGGGCGTGAGTCAGCATCCCCGAGTCTAATCAACGTGGACACTGAGACTATCAAGCTCCTGAGCTGAAAAACTAAGAACTAGACCCAGGACCAGAGTGCAATCACCAAGGTAACACTGTGCCCTGGAGGCCCCTGGGCCTGACGGGGAGAAGGCCCTCCTACATGTCATGCGATACAGACAGGGATTAAAATTGACTTTTGACATTAGAAAGAGCTGCATACTCAAAACCATGGCTTGGTTCCATTCAGGTGAAGGTGAAGAATAGGAGATGATCGTGAGACTCATATTGAATATTTATTTATTGGCTTATGAGCACACACCAGATGCCGCACAAATCCTAGGCAGGAGGATAAGATTTACAGACATGTTTGAAAAAAGGAAAAAAAGGGGGGCGGGGCAGATGGTATGTGCTGAGGAGGAATGGAACAAGAGAAGCCTGACTGATGAATCCTTGCTCCACCTTGACGCTCATGGTCCAGGATGCGAAATAGAAGTTGTCTTTAAAGACCAAAAGAAAAGCCAGGAGAAGGAAACACAAGGTACACCAGACTGCAAACAGGAATGTGCCAGGGCAGTGAGATTATCCAGGCCAGAGGAGTGATTTAGGACCCGTAGGGTGAGGGCAAGATCTTTGAAGTGAGTTCAAAAGGCAAAATAGAGGTGAGCCCATTAGAACAGATGGGGATAATTTAGCAATCCTATTAGATCACCACTTCATTAAGGGTTCCTGGGTGAGCAGTACCTATGGTGACACAGATCCCCTTCTGGGACCCCAGTTACAATGTGTAAAAAGGGAAGAACGTGATCAAAACTGTCGCATCTGGGAATTTGGGGCCCAGTGATGAGAAGTGACCCACTATTTCATATTCAGACCCCAAACAAAAACCAAAAAAAAAAAAAAAAGGGAAGATGGCCTCTGATAACCCTACAAGATTTATTTTTCAAAGACAAATATGTTCAAGGAGTGCGATAAATGAAAGGAAGTTCTATGTCACCTCTGAGACTGATCTCAAAGACAGGCATTGTCGCCCACAGTGTCTCCCTTGGGGCCCCAGCAGAGCAAGGTCACCAGCCTGGCTAGATTGGACAAGGCCAGGGAACCATCTTAGATGTCTTTTTTGTTCTAAAAATGAGGTAGAGCCGTGCCACCCAGTACGGAATGATGCTAAGTGTGGCCTGCCCAACCAATTATGTGAAAGGAAGGGCACACAAAGGGCTCAGGAAATAGCAGGACCGAAGCACAGCAGGGTGGCAAGAGCGCCTCTCTGAGATGCACCACCAGCATGCATGAACTTCAAGGATGAGGGCTGGGGAGGGGCTGACCTGTGCCCCCCACAAAACCAGAGGGCTCTGAGTCACACATGGAAGAACAAGCTCCCTTTAATCGTGGCTTCAGCGAGCACGCATACACGGGGGGAAATAACTGGAGACTGAGTGGGGCTCCTCATCTAGTAGAGGTTGTCCCGCACATGCTCCATGATGGTCTTCAGGCCCAACCAGGTCTCCTCTGCAGTGGGGATGATCTGGTTGGCTGGCAGGAGGAAGCCATAGTGCCCTGTATCTCTCAACTCAAACGTGAATGCATACTTGATGCCATTATCATACGCCCAGTCAATGCTGCTCCCGCTAGCTGGATCTGTAAGTCAGAAAAGAAAGCACCTTGGAACCCCAGTTCCTTTCAGGGTTAGATGAGTGGGCCTCAGGAGTTCTGCCTGCCTGTGGTTCCTGAGGGATGTAGAATTCTTTCTGAAGGTCATCAGGCCACCAACACACAAACACTGGCCTGATCCATATGTCTCAGGCTGTCCTATACGACGAACGTCTTCATTCATCACAAACCAAGAGATTTTAAATCTTCGTGCCCACCTTGTCACTAACTCACTGTGCAGACTCCTTCTGGTCACTCAAAATCAATCTTCACAGAGTGTGACAGGTAGCCTCCAAAACAGCCCCAATGATCCTTGTCTCCTGGTCTTCACATCCTTGGGTAGTCCCCTCTGACACTGAGTGGGGCTGCCCTGACCTGGGTAACTAACAGGAGATTGCAGAAATGATGGTGTGTGACCTTCAAGGCTAGATCATAAATACTATGGCTTCCACCTTGCTCTCTCTTGGATCATTTGATCTGGGGAAAGCCATGTGTCAGAGTGTGTGGACGGTGAGAGAGTGTCCTATAGACAGGTCTTGGTGGTAAAGATTGGAGGCCTCCTGCCGGTACTCAGCACCTGAGTGAGCCACCTGAGGAGCAGACCCCTCCAGCCCAGTCAAGCCTTTAAAGGACTCTAGCCCTGGAAGACACCTTGACTGCAATCTTGGGTGAGGCCCTGAGCCAGAGCCACCCAGCTAAGCCATTTTTGAATTCCTACCCCAGGGAAACAGTGGAAGAAAATAAATGTTTATTATTTTAAGCTGCTAAGTTTTAGGATAACTTTTTACATAGCAAGGGATAACTGATACACAGAGAGAACGAAGCACAGCCCTTGGGACTTCCCTTTGCCAAAAGGCTGGGGAAAAGAAAGAGGCCCATTTTCCTGCTTCTTCCCAGCCAAACTCTACTAGAGCAGAAACTGGCTAAAAGTGCAAAGTGTGGATGACACTGAATAATAAAATAGTGATGTCAATAGCAGCTATCATTTATTGAACATCTCCCATGAGCCGGTCATCTATATTGGAAAGTTTACATTTATGACCTCATTAATCTTCAAAAATCCAGTGAGGTGGGTATCACTGTCCTTGTTTTTCAGAGGAGGAAATCCAGGCTCAGAATGAGGAATTTATCTAAGGAAATATTGACGGAAAATGGCAGGACTGGAATTGAAACCCAAGGCCATCTGCTGAAAAAAAGCCCATGCTTCCCTCAACCTCCTTCCAGTCCATTTAGTATAGTACATGTCTGTTAAATGAAAACACAGGTCCTTTTGTTTTTCCATCATTCTCGAGGGTTGTTTCTCATGATACCACTTGTGATTTTTCTAGAGATGCTGCTTCTACTGTGATGACACGCCCCCTGAGGTTATGAAACAGGCTCTCCTATAGTCTCTGAAATCCTTCCTCCTCTACCCTGAGAAAATGCTGAATAAAAAACAGATGATGGTACCAGAAGTTTCTAGAGGTTGTTTATATGGTAAGCTCAAGTATTTCAGAACACATATTAAATTCAGGAAGGAGGCAAGAAGTCCTCTGCAGAGCAAAGTGATCAAGTGCATGCACTTCACTTTATTTGGGTCCCTGCTCAAAGTCTATCTACTCTTTTCTTTTAAGATTTTATTTATTTATTTGAGAGAAAGAGATCACGAGTGGGAGTGAGGGGCAGAGGGAGAGGGAGAAGCAGACTCCCCCCTGAGCATGGAGCCCAATGTGGGGCTCGATCCCAGGACCCCGAGATGCGGGGCTAGATCATGCCCTGAGCCAAAGGCAGACACTTAGCCAACTGAGCCACCCAGGTGCCCCAGTCTATCTAGTCTTTTAACATTAATGGGAACATAAGATTAAAAACACACTGTATTTTGGGCTCCTCGCTCAGCAGAGAGTCTGCTTCTCCCTCTGCCTCTGCCCCTCCCCGCCTTGTGCTCACTCTCTCATGCGCTCTCTCTCTCTCAAATAAATAAATAAAATCCTTTAAAAAATAATAAGATAAATTAAAAATTTAAAAATGTAAATAAATATTTAAATAAATATTTAAATAAATAAAATAAAAACCACACTATATTTTTCAATTAACATTTAAAGATTATTCCCTATTAGCACATACAGACATACCTCATTCATTTAAGGGGGGCACACTGTTTCATTGTGTGCCTGCACCAAATGTGTTTTATGTGTACTGTACTGATGGACATTTAGGTGCTCACCAGGCTTCTATGACTATAAACAATGCTGTCATGAACATCCTTCTTACTCACAATCTATCCACGAGTCAAATGAGCCCAAAGAACTTGTGTCCCAGCCTTTAGTAGTGAAGAGAAGGGGAGAAGGTTCCTAGAGGCAGGTGGCCTAAAAGCAGTACAGTCTGACCAGGGGAAGGAAACATGAAAACTCTAAAAACGCAGACACAAGAATTAAAGAAGCAAAATGGGCTTGGGGCTGTCCAGCACAGGGATTGAAAATACAATATGGCACAGAAGGCCTTCAGGACATTACAACTGATGTTCAGAAAGCCATTCCGTCATGAAGAAAGGAGCTTAAATCCCTTGTACATGCTCTGTTTAAAAAGGCAAGAAAGTGTGAAATTTATTTGAGAATTATTTTCAGCTAAAATGGTTAATCTAAGAAAAGGTCTGGCACTTGAAGGGACAAACGTTGACTATTCATGTAGCACATGCAATAACCCATGGGATCGGAGTGTTATTATACAAAAATTGACTACATTTTTGGAAAGCAAGGAGGGCAGGCAAAGCCTTTAAACAATACAGAAGATGTGCTCTTGAAAGACTTAGGAAATAACTATGTCTTTTGGACAGCGCTCAGGAGAGCCTTCCTCCTCTTGTTCTGGAGGAATCCGATGAGTATCTCTTGATTTTGGCATAGCATATGCTGGGAAGAATGTGTTTGATGTGGAATTACAAGGCCATCCTTTAAACTGGTGTTTGACCCAAAAGCCAGGACTGTGGTGACCCACAAAGCTCTTTTGAGAGGGCCTCGTCAAAGGACTCCTACCAAGTCTCTTCACCTCTCTGCAGTCCTAAACTCAGTTCTCACTAATTAAGCAGAGGATGGAGAAACTCTCCTGATGTGTTTCTTCTCTGAGGAGTTCCCATTTAACAACACTAATAATAATCAACCATGAATAATTAATGGATGGTTGCTGCAATTAAGCCACACAAACACCAACATCAGGCTAATTGCTTTATGCAGCAAGGTGGCATATGAAACACAGACAAGAGTGCTGAGGTCGGAGTACAGAGGAGAACCCAGGAGGGGGGATGGAGAAACTTCCCAGAAGAGGAAGACTGAAGGGAACAGCTAGCCGAGGGTGGAGCAATTGGATGGGAGAGTTACAGTATGGAAGAGGACAGAAATATCAGCGAGTTTGCAGGGGGTCTGAGGGTGGACCAACCTTTAAAGCTAGTGCCCTTCTTTTCCCCTCTAGTGTCTCTAACAGTTGTTCGTATTTTTATTTCCCATTGATAGCTAGACTCTCAGAGAATGATAATATTCTTCAATTTGATCTTTAAGTTTAAAGCTCAGGCTCACGGAATGAGGGAACTGGAAGGATCTCAGTAGGAACAGAGTGAAATGCTCAGATGAAACACGTCAGTGAGAAACCAAAACAAAGGTATTTCCTCAAAATGAGGCTGAAGCTGTAGGTAATGAGCCTGAAGACCATCTCAGGTTTGGAGTCTTGGTAGTTTGTTTGGTGGTTGGTTTGTTTGTTTTTGGCTTGATGCTAACCATTGCAAAGAAGACCCCAGCTCCCGGCATGCTGTGCTCCACCACGTGGTCATTTCTGATGGGAAAGTGAGGGAATCTCTTCCAGCCCCACTCCCGCCACCTCGGTCTGCCTCTCCAAAAGTGGGTTTCCTTTGAAAATGGAATGATGGGCCTGAGGAATTTTTGATAAACTATGACAGGATCTTTCATGGACTAGAAGGGACACAGACTCTAGCACACTAGAAGGACTAAGCTCACCACGGGCACATGACAGATAGCATGACCGTGGTGGTGGTACTGATGAAGATGACCCCCTACAGCAGCCATCATCCCATAAGCTTGACGCAAATTCAGTCTATCGCCAACAACAAAAATAATCAGGCTACAACATAGTAAGTCTAACTTGCGGCTCTTCTCCCAATTTATTGCAGGTTTCCCCTCCAAGCATTTTCTGAATAACTAAGACAGAGAGTACTTACAGACAGTGGTGCAGATAGGACCCACTTGGTACGTAGTGCCCGACAGGGAAGCCAGAGCTTTGGCCGCACACCTCGCCACCTTGTCCTAGGAGGGGGAACCAGTGGAGTGAGAAAGAATGGATCCCACAGCCTGACATCCCTCAGCTGTTCTGCACTGCAATGGTGTAGAAGATTCTCGGCCCTTCCCTCAAGTTTCCCTTCCAGTCTCCTTCTTTTCCATCCAGCCAGAGCCGAAGCCTGAGACATGAGATGTGGAGGGCTGCTCACCAACCCAATCTAGTAAATACACCACCATCTTCACCCATCCTGAGGGACGGGAATGTCATGTTCATGAACATGTGGGAAGGCCAAGTATGTTCCAGAGAAAACCTTCTAAGAGTTGGGTATTCCCAGAGTGGAGGTGGAGACAGGGCCACCATATATGGATGTGCCTATGCCTGTCTGAGACCAGAATCTAGCCCACACCTAGCATGAGCCCTGCATCTGCTGGGAGGTTTAGAGGCTAGCTGTGGCCCTGGGCAGGGGGGCGCTCTCGAGCTGACCAGCACAGAGGGAGAAGCCTGCAGTCACCCTACAGATGCCAGCCCTGCTCATCAGTCCACCCTAAGTGCCTGTTCACATCCTAGGGCGAGTCATTATATGCAACGCAGAGCACCCCTAGGCTGTAGCCTGCACCCTACTTAAACTCTACCTTGACCGGAATGAGGAGCCCCTCCCCCTTACCCACCACAGGGCCACCCACAGTTCTTGGCAAGCAGTGGGTCCGTCATACATTTTGGTCAGAAAA